TATCCTGTGCGGGATGCTTATATTGTCTCACTCCAAGGTGCCAATCGTGGTTTTGGCACGTTATTTGGTGGTAGCAAAGTACTCCGGACATGCTCTTAAAACAAACAGGCCGTGCAGGACGATCATATTACACACACACATGGATCTAAGCATTCACACGACGCTAAGAGTCAAGAGTCACCCTACCATCCAGATCTGTGGAAGCCACCCTCCCCCCACCCTTCCCACCCCCCGCCGGAGGCGGCGCCAGAGGCGGCGGTGGCTTCAGCGGAGCCGGACCTGGAGCCGGAGGCGGAGGCGGAGGTGGAGGCGGAGCCGGAGGCGCTCTGGGGGTGTGCTGGCGCAAGCGCTCAGTTTCTGGTTTTCAGGGCATCTAAGTGGGTGTGGTTCAAATTGAACCACCAGGGACCCGCAGGTTTTCGTTCGTTCCATTTACCAAGCCATTTTTGGTGCCTATTTTTGACCCACAGCCAAGTGGGCTTCTCGGGATATGTTCATTTGCAAGGGAAGGTAAGACTGGCCAAACGGTTCGATCTTTTTGGGCCTCAATACCGGCGGATACAGAGGGTGGAACTCAGAAAGGGGTTCTGGGCTTACGACCATAGGTGTCCTCCTTGGTGGTTTTGGTCGCAGAATGGATGGGTTTCCCTGGTTTACCTGGTGGTTGAATCGTCTACCAGGGAAATCCATCTATTTCCCCTAAAAGGACGCCGATGATTACCACCATTTTAGTACCGGGTTTTGATTATGACTTTGGATCTTGCCTTTTGGCTTCCCGTTGAACGCACCGGCAAAAGGATGCCGAGCCTCAAAAACGCCAACATATCTTGACTGCTATTGGGTTGGATCTTTAGACTTTAACTTTTTGCGAAATCAAGGGGTTTGCCACCAAACCCACAAAAAGTTAAACTGTATGCAGAGGGGTCAACAGCAACTAAGATATTGACAAGTGAGAAAGCAATGGAATCGTGCCTCAAAAGCGCTGGCGGGAAGATGCGCTCAGCCAAACACCCACATGTATAGCAGGTCACCAGCCATTTTCCTGTTGACATGTAAAGGGTGCTATACAGGGAAATCCAATCACTGGGCATTTCATTTCTGAACTTCTTGTTGAAGCCGAACGGGAAGGTGATGCCAATCTCCAAAACACCGAACTAAACCACCATACCTGGTATCCAGCGAAGCTGGACGGGCGTTTCTTTCCAACTAGTCCCCCAGTTTTGCCCTTTTACCCTTTTTGGGGGGAGGGTTCCCCTTATTCTAACCTCTCTACTGAAGAACCTAGCCAATGCGCCAATAGGAAATAAGTTGGTTTGACTTTCCTCGCGGTCAAGAGGCGTCGCCAGCGCCGGCCTCGCCAGCAGCTGTGCCAGTGTCGGAGGGGCGGCGCGCGGCGGAGGCGGGGGGGGGGGAGGTCGGGGGGCGCTGAAATTTGGAGCGAGGATTTGAGGTTCTCCAAATCACTTTGGGGAGTTGAAACCATCTAGAGGGTGATTTTGAGAGTGCCTCGATACTCCGGGAGTGCGCCAAGGAGTGAGTAGCCCTACTTGCAGCTGGGTCTTTTGAAGTTATTTGTACACTGTCAGGTCCGCTCCCCAGTGAACATCCCAATCCCCACTAAAATAGGCTAAAATGGGTGGTGCACCTACCCCAAAATGGTACCATTGGTTTTGACCCACAGCCATATGTTTGGTGGGAGGCAAAAGCTAAGGTAAACAAGGGTTGGAAAAGGGGCAACCATGGCTCCGAACCCGAAGTGGACGGTTTCTTGCTTGTGTGTTGCCGCTGGCTCCTCCAGAGATGGAGTTGGGCCATCAAAAGCATTACCTTTTCCACACCAAAAGGAGTGGACCGTGGACCTTTCAACCCCCACGCAAATTTGATGCCCAGCACCTAAAATTTCTCCTTGTTCAGACGCAGCTTGTGCATCTCTGTTTGGCTTGATGGGCTTGTGACCAAAAATGGTCAACGTCTCAGAAGGATTCCTTTTTCTGCCAGAGTCGCTGGGTAACTAACAAAGTTCCTAGTATCCTACTCACCTGCGAATCAACACGACCACCCAAAGAGGCGATTCCCGTGGACATGACGGCTATTTGGCTTGCAAGCCTTGAGTCACTCAACCCTCAGAAGCACCAGCTATAGGCAATTGCACATTGGCCAAGTACCAACCACTAAGTGGATGTCAGCTGTAGACTTTCCCCCTTTTTGCTGGGTTTCGTTTCTTGAACAACCTCCCCAAAGTAATTCGGAGAACCCTCACAAAATCACCCTCTAGATGCTGTCTTCACGGCTTCACCCAAACCAAATCTCCAAAGGGCCCCCCTAGATGGTCTCAAACTCCACAAATTGACGAAGCTCATGAGCTTGCTCATGGAAGCTCCCGATTTTTCGCCCTGGGCGGCGGAAGAAAAAGCGGATCGAGGTGCTGCTGAGATGTGTGCCGGCCTTCCGCCTGGAGCCCAGCTGTGGCACCTTCAGCCGGGTGCTGCGACTGGCCGAGGCGCGAGAGAGAGAGAGAGACGAGAGACGAGACGACGCTACGTGTGAAGTGCTGTCCGGGGGCAGCTGAAGAACCACTGGGGAAAACGTGCCGTGCATGCTTGTGTTTTTTCTTCCTCCAGGGGTGGGTGGGTAGGATTTGTACAAGTGTGGTGAAATTCTGGTATGATTCTGTGAAGCTCAAGGAATTTTGGGATATCCCGGAAGCTCACTTGTTGTGGAGTCCTGTTTTAAGACACGCACAGACACACAGACACACACACACACACAGGTACGATGTGTTCCAAAATGAAGATACATACATACATACATACATACATACATACATACATACATACATACATACATACATACATACATACATACATACATACATACATACATACATACATACATACATACATACATACATACATACATACATACATACATACATACATACATACATACATACATACATACATACATACATACATACATACATACATACATACATACATACATACATACATACATACATACATACATACATACATACATACATACATACATATACATATACATACATACATACATACATACATATACATACATATACATACATATACATACATATACATACATATACATCCATATACATACATATAAATACGTATACATACATATACATATACACACATATACATACGTGTACATACATATACATACATATACATACATATACATACACATAGATACACATAGATACATATACATACATATACATACATATACATACATATACATACATATACACGCATATACATACATACATACATACATACATACATACATACATACATACATACATACATACATACATACATACATACATACATACATACATACACATAGATACACATAGATACATATACATACATATACATGCATATACATACATATACATCCATATACATACATATAAATACGTATACATACATATTCATACATATACACACATATACATACGTGTATATACATATACATACATATACATACATATACATACACATAGATACACATAGATTTAAGAGAATCTTAGCCGGGGAGAGGCTTTAAACACCCAAATAATTATTTTTTCATTTTATTTTCATTTCATATGTTCTGGTTATTTTCATTTTAATTTCATACTCTTTTTCATTTGGATTTCTGTTTTCATTTTATTTTATTTTGTTTGTTGCAGCTTTGCTCATGCATGAACTGCTCACGCGGAATGAGCTTGTTTCCCTGGAAAGCCTAATTACCTCATTCTATTCCCTTCTTTGCGTCATCATGAAGCTGACAATGTGAAAACAAATGCGAAACATGCAGCCAAACAGGATGCGTGCTTTAAGACAGGACACTCGCTAGCAAGGCGACCTCACATCTCAGCTACTCGTTTTGCCACACTGTGCGAACATCGCAAACATCCGGCCAACACTACACCTGGCTTGTCGCCTGCAGCAAAAAGGGACAACGTTGGATCATTGCGGCAACTTGATTGAGGAGATTGCTGCTTGGCACGCAAAGGGCGGCTGCAGGCAACCAAGCCAAAATCATGGCGGAATGTAAGTGGCTAAGGATCGCCCAAAATCAGCCACTGAGCTTCTGTGCCATGTTCACCAACGCTGGTTGAACATCATGTTCGGAAATACTAAATTTCCGCGAGGACAAAAAGGCCAGCTGGGAACGAAGTACGTGCAGAGCCTTTTCGATCTCTTGCACGTCATTGTTTTCAAGGCTCTCCCTGTGTTGCACGAGGCCTTTCCAAACCAAAACTTCAACGATCATGATTTTGGAAGACCTTGCAAGGTCAACCGCGGAGCCCCAAGCAGTCTTGAGGAGGCACACCGATTCCTTGGCGGTTTCCCCGCTGCACTCACCCACAGCAATGTCCAAGAACCCCTCGATTGAAGCTTGTGCCTGACAAGGGCGGCAAGGCCAACCCAAATACCCGTTGAATACCCAACTGAACTGATTGAGTTTGAGCCTTCCAAGTTAGTGATTGGAGTTTAGAGAAGCTGGGTGCTGCCAAGGGTTGGGGTGATTCCACCTAGTTCAACCACGCGAAAACCAATTGCGCTGTTGCATATTGAGCACTGAATACTGGGACACCAAACTCAGAGGGGTTGGATTCTTACTATTAAGAACTCCAGTGCGGTGTTGAAGCCAAAATTCAACAAACCAGCAACCCCAAACAATGAACAATGTTCTTACTCCTTCAAACAACGCCAGGGTCACATCCGCCCTCAACAAACAGCGAGGCAGGTAGGCCCTCTTGAAACAAGACTTGGCTAGCCGGCTAGCCGGTCACAGAAGACACACAACCAGGTTTTCCCCAAAATTCCCAAGTGCACCATACAGGGTACCCGTTGCCCTTTGAATCTCATTTACATTTCACAGAAACACACTACAGCCGAACCTCGAAACCCAGGTTCACAGCACATGGAAAGCAAGCCCATGAAGCAAGGCGGGAACCATCAGTACAAAGACAAGCAACGCTCTCAGCAATCCAGGGGCTACTACGTCATGACCAAAAAGGCCCCAAAGTGAATCCCAAATTTTAACCCAAAAAGTCAGAGCAAACAATTGACTAGGCGAAGGAGGGTGTTGGGCCTGTTGTTTGACTAGTGGTGCTGGAGATGAACAACACCTACCTACATTCTGCGCTGGGCAAAAACCCACGAGTGGTCCTTCAGCACCTCGTCGGAAAAATCGCGCATGATCTTGCCAGGGAGGAAGGTCACGCTTTGCTGCGCAGCCAGTGTGATCTCATCAAGGGTGGAATCAGCTGAAAGGTCTTTCTTCCAGCTTAGGGCACCATCGATGGCAAAGTCACGAAAGTCTGTTGTCGGGGCGTTCTTGTTTCTCAGGTGGGTCGAAGCATCCTCTGCAAACTTTGCGAGTTTTTCTTCCAAGGGCTTGTGTAGGGCAGCTGCTTTGAAGGCAACGACGTCATCAAACTCATCGCTTTTCAACTCTGTCAAGAAGGCTTCCGGCATGTTGAGATCAAGCAAGCTGTCCAAGCTGTTGTCTGGGATCTGGACGACAACGCTCATCTCTTCAACATCACTGTTCTTTTTCACTTCGTCTCTCTTGAAGGAAATTCGACTCAAGGCCAGCGCAACCAGGTCTTCAATGGTCACTTGGGCCTGCCTGAGCCGAGAGCGAGTGGCGACAATGCTTTTCAGCACTGACAAGCCATCCTTGTTCAAGAAAGCATCGAGATCGTCAAGGTTTTGGATCTTACGGTTGCCGGAGATGAGGGTCATTCCAGCCGCTGTCAGTTCCAACCAAGCATCCACAAGCTTCTTGACAGTATTGTGTAGCTCCGGGTCCCTGTCCTTTCCACAGAGCCTTCTGGCAAACACATCCCTGATCACGCCAAAGTGCCGCTTGAGTGAGGATGCGTTGGGATCGAGATTCGCGGCCTACCAAGGGAGGATGGTTACAAGCTGTTGACTAGAAACTGAGAACCAAGCAACACCCAGTTAGATTGTATACTTGTTTGGTTCAAAGGGCCCACATCCAACATTCAAACTTGAACACGTTGAAGTCTAACTCTTTGGGCTGCAATAAGCAAACAAAAACTACACTGCTACACCTTTGCCTTTTTTGCTGGTAGCTACAACTAAAAGTAGCCAACCCTATCATGAGCTAATGAGCCGGAATCTAAGTACTTACTAGTTGAACCGCGGCAGGCTTACTTGAGTGGCTGAGCAGCAGGCAGGCTTGCCCACAAGACAGACTAGTTGATAAGCCTTGTTGGCTTCTCTTGCCCGAAAAACGAAAGCCCGGACCCCTCCTCTGCCAGAACGCTTTGGATACACTTTGCCAGGAAGGTGTCGATCTCATTCAACATGGTCTCTGGTTCATGACCGGCTGGGCAGTTGTCGAGGCAAGCCTTGACCATTTCGAAGTCCACGGGGTCCGCCCGCAGACCAGTGTTCTTCATCAGCATGGCCATGTCATTGCCAGCCACCTGGGCGCTAGCTGTTGGGAAGAACTACGTTATACCTCTCAATTTTTTTGTCCAGGTGGATGAGGGGAAGGCGCCTTATGATTAACCTCATTGCAACTTTGAAGCGGGCAACCACCGCAAGTAAAGTTGAAACTCGAAAACTCGAAACATCCTTAAAAACCCAACCAGTTCGCCCAGCAACTGTTTTGACCCTGTCAGTCATGTACTGCTTGACCTCGCGGCACTTGTCAAGGACACCCGGCTGGTCCTTGACCAAGTCCAACGCCTCAAGGACGCCGCCGACATACTCAGAGTTGATGTGGTCGCCGGTTTCAGAAGCCAGAACAGCATTGGCAAATCTGACAGCGTGAGCCTGCAGGGTTGGGACGTGTAATAACACTCTCTCCTGGAGGTTGCCACCATCAAAAAAGTAAAGAGTTGTTGCACAAGGGCTTACCGAAACAACCTTTTTTCCCCAAATTGAAATCTGGCCTAGCTTTCTTTGGCTGACTGATTCGTGTTCGGCCCCCCATCAGCCCTATCAGAGCCCTATCAGTCATGCAAATGTTTCTTGTCTCCGCAACTAGGAGAATCAAAGCTGAATCAGACACACAGATTCCTGGGTGTTGCTAGCTGCTAATCAGGCTTCAGGGTGAAAGACAACACAGGTGCAGACTTAGACTTAAGCTGCAACCCCAAAAAGCCAGAGGCTACCCTGCACTTGACAACAATCAGGCGAGCAGCGGCCAAAATGGAAGAGACCTCGTTCATTTTCTGGGACCTTGTGGTGCCCCTGATCAGCTTGAAGATTTGCATGCCATCCTTGAAGTCAGACATGCTCATGCTGTCGGTGTTCAGGAGGGCTGTGAGGTCTTTCAGCTTGTCGCCGTCAAGCCTGGAACCAGCCCCCTTCTTGATCATGTCCTCAAGTTCGGCTTGCCACCAGCTGCCCGGCTCACGCAAAACACGTTTGACGCTTCTCTCCCAAACATGGTTGCCCGCGTAGTTGGAGAAGTAGAAGC